GTGAATTAATGTTCCACACTCATCACACCTTAAGTCAATATACTCCAAATTAAACTTTAGTTTCTTCTCACACCCCTTTCACTATTTTCATTCTCCAAGCCCTACCTATTCAACCTCCAAAATATCTAAATTGTCTGATCCATTTATAACCCTTTTGCGACTATCCTTGGCTCAGTCCTCATCTTTTGTTCCACTCTAGCTAAAAAGTGCCTCCTGACGCGTGAAGCTAAGAAAGCTTAAGCTGCAGGAAATGTCACTTGCAACAGGTGTTGCAATAAAGAAATACCTGAAGCTGGGTAATTTATAAAGAAGAGAGGTTTATTTTGGCTAACGTTTCTGCATGGCAATGGCATCTGCTTCTGATGAGGCCTCAGGAAACTTATAATCATGGTGGAAAGTGAAGAGGGAGCAGGCATGTCACATGATGAGAACGGACACAAGAGAGAGAGAAGGAGGTGCCAGAATCTTTTAAACAACCAAATCTCGCGTGAACCCATAGAGCAATCCACCCCTATGACTCAAGCACCTGCCACTAGGCCCCACCTCCAACACTGGAGTTCACTTTTTTTTTTTTTTTTTGAGTTGGTGTCTCACTCTGTCGCCAAGACTGGAGTGCAGTGGCACACTCCTGGCCCCGCAGCCTCGACCTGCTGGGCTCCGGCGATCCTTCCGCCTCAGCCTTCCAAGTAGCCGGAATTACAGGCACGCGCTAACACGCCAGGCTGATTTTTTGATTTTATTGTAGAGATGAGGTCTCGCTGCCCAGGCGGGTCTCGAAACCGCGGGCTTAGGCAATCTACTCACCTCAGCCTCACAAAGGCGCGGGATTACAGGCTGAGTCACCGAGCCCGGCTTGGAAATCACATTTTAACATGAGATTTGGAGAGGATAATAGCCAAACTATTTATCACTTACCATATAGTCACATGATCATGTTTTTTGTTTGTTTGTTTTTGTTTATTTTGAGTTGGAGTCTCACTCTGTCACCCAGACTGGAGTGCAGTGGCCGCTCCCAGCCACCGCAGCCTTGACCTGCTGGGCTCCGGCGATCCTTCCGCTTCAGTCTTCCACGTAGCTGGAACTACAGGCGCACGCTACCACACCCAGCTAATTTTTTGATTTATTGTAGAGATGAGGTCTCTCCTGCCCAGGCGGGTCTCGAACCCATGGGCTCAGGCAATCCACTCACCTCAGCCTCCCAAAGGCGCGGGATTACAGGCTGAGCCACCGAGCCCGGCTTAGTTTGAGTTTCATGGTACACTTACATGTGGCTTGTATACTTTTTTTCTCCAGACAGAGTTTCAGTTGGGACTATAGGCTAATTTTTCAATTTTTTGTAGAGACGGCATCTTGCTTTGTTGCCCAAACCAGTCTCTAACTCCTGTCCTCAAGTCACTTTCCTGCCTCAGCCTCCCAAAGTGCTGGGATTACAGGGATAAGCCACTGTGCCTGGCCACTTGTGTCAGTTTTATTCATAGTTATTACTCAGGTATAAGAATTATTTCTAAGCCGGGCTCGGTGGCTCAGCCTGTAATCCCGTGCCTTTGGGAGGCTGAGGTGAGTGGATTGCCTGAGTCCGCGGGTTCGAGACCTGCCTGGGCAGGTGAGACCTCATCTCTACAATAAAATCAAAAGATTGGCCGGGCGTGGTAGCACGCGCTGTAATTTGGCTACTTGGAAGCTGAGGCAGAAGGATCACCGGAGCCCAGCAGGTCAAGGCTGCGGTGGCCGGGAGCAGCCACTGCACTCCAGTCTGGGCGACAGAGTGAGACTCCTACTCAAAAAAAAAAAAAAATTATTTCTAGAAATACTCTTACTGCCCAACTTTGAACCTAATGTTATATTCATAAATTTGTATTCTTAGTCTCACCCCCTCCTCCTCCAAACCGTATAAGCTTTAGGTCCTACTAAACCTGGACCTTCCTCTGGTTAAGTTACAAATGTGACTCAGTCACTCCTGCTCAAAAACCTTCAATGGTTTCTTATCGCAGTCTTTCATGATCTGACCATTTATTAAGTTTAACGTCCTACTCATCTCTTTTGTCCTTCCTCTTTGTTCCAACAGTATTCAACATTTCCCGCCCCCCGAGTTGGGGTCTTACTCTGTTACCCAGGCTGGAGTGCACTGGCACACTCACAGCTCACGGCAGTCCCGGCTCCCTGGACTCAGGTGATCCTTCTGCCTCAGCCTCCCAAGTAGCTGGGAGTACAGGTGCACGCCATTATGTCAGGCTAATTTTTTTATTTTTAATTTTAATTTTTAGAGACGAGGTCTTGCTATGTTGCCTAACCTGGTCTTGAACTCCTGGGCTCAAGCAGTCTTCCCACCTGGTCTACCAACGTGCTGGGGTTACGGGCGTGAACCACCATGCCGGCTTATTGAGTGAACTTTTCTATATCCTCCAAGTCTACCTGAAGTTTTCTTCATAGTAGCTTAGATAGGATCCAACGTGGAAGTATTAGTAGCAAGCTGCTTCTGAGGCAGCTTCATTTTGCACTTTGCAAAGGTAATTCTGCACAAGGTATTTGTGTGCCTACTGGGCCTTGTATTCCAATTGCAAGCTTCTCTCCTACACAGGCTGTTGATATCCCACTGCAGAAGTCTTTCTTTTCAGGGTCTAAGGAAATTAGTGCACACACATATTTTCTTTCTTGAAGTGGTGGGACTCTTTAAGGGAAATAGTAAGATAACTGCTGGATAATTTTCTAGACTGTTTACGAAAACCAGCGCCATCTTGAATCGTGTCAAGCTCCACTCACTCAACCTCTCCTCATACCCCACCCTCAGGCTGTAGTCACAAAAGGTGGCACAGGAGCATGGAAATCCTTGAAGTGTATTTGAAATGAAGAGAAACGGTATGGTCAAAGAAGAGAGAGTTCAGAGGAAGCTGGGAGGTTTGCTGAAGCTTCATGGAGGAACTACACCGAGGGACTGAGAACAGAATCCAGGGGGAGTACAAGGTGCAACGTTCAACTTCCCTGCTCTGAAAACTCAAGTCACTTGGCTTCCTAAGCCCGTGACCTTATTTAGAGATAATCACTAAGCGTCCTCTCAGGGTGGAGAATAAACGGCACGGAGACCGTGGGAAAGAGCCTAGTCCACCACGGTATTTCGCCTTTGTCCCAGCTGAAGTCCGCCCCAGCCACACCTATTAATTTTGCAGTTTGGAGTCACATAGTTCACCTCTACTTATAGGAGGAGAAGGCTAGAGGAGAGGAGTGTGCGGGTGAGGACTGCTTAAAGCCGTCTGCCCAGAAGAGGCTGAAGGCTAGAAGTTTCTGACGCCATTCAAAATGGAGCCAAGCGCCCGCCTCGCCTAAGATGGCGGCTTCCCCGCCTCGGGGCTCAAGGTCTTCAGCGGCGATTGGGCACCTTGAAGAGACCAGCGGGTCCAAAGGTAGCCGAGCACCGCCCAGCTTTCTCAAGGTGGCGCCCCGCCCCTGATGACGTCACGCGGGAGTCGGCGGCTCGCGGTTCCCCGCCTTCGCGGCGCTTACCTCGCGTGCCAAGCCCTCATAAGATGGCGGTCGCTTCGCCTCTCTGTGGCCGTGCCGCCACTCTCAAGATGGTAGCTGTTTACCCCGTATTTCTCCTCCCCTCTCCACCTCAACTTCCTCGTTGTTTTGAATAAACTTTATTGACTACTGCGATTGCCTACCGCCGCCACTGGGCTTCTCCCGGCGACTTTTCGGGCCATCTTTCTCGGACTGGTGGCCTATTCCTCTTCATCCTCGTTGGTTTGCTCACGTCTATCTCCTGCCGGCCCAGCAACAACGCCAGTTGCCCGTTCGCCGGGCGGCCGTCCGACTAGGCCTGAGTCGTGGTCTCTAGTAGGCCCGAACGGCCAGGCTAGGGGGAGTGTGGTGGCGAAGACTACTCTGAAGCACCGCCGGGCAGCTGGCGCCGCGCGACCCAGTGGGTGGTTCGCGGGGAAGGCTAGCAAGGTTCGCTGCGTTACAGGGGCGATCCCAGAATTCGGCGCGCGCCGCCGCTGGGGCCGGAACTGCCGGGCGAGCCTCCGCTGAGCGAGGCGCCGCGCTGCCGCGGAGCGAGCCCGGCCGCCGGCGTGTCGCTGGGACTGAGCTCCGCGGGCGTGAGGAGTCCCTGAAGCGCTGGGCATGAAGAGGTTCCTGTAGGATTCGGGACCGAAGACATTCTTGTCAGGTTTGGGGCGTGAGGAGGTTCCTGTCAGTTGGGGAGGCGTGAAGAGATAGATTCTTGTAAGTTTTGGGGGCTGCAAGGATATTCCTGTCAGTTTCAGGATCCAAGATAAGATCCCTGAAAATTTGGGGGGACTGAGGAGTCTCTCATCAGTTTGAGGGGGCTGCAAGGAGATACCTACTAGTTTCCGAGCGGTGAAAAAAAAATCCTTGCTTAGTTTTAGGGGTGTGAGGAAATTGTAGTCCGTTTCAGGGGTTTTGAAAAGATCCTTTTGCGTTTCAGGGGTGCAATGAGAGCCCTGTCATCTTTGGAGTAGAGGACGAGCTGACCAGTTTTTAAATTGAGATTTATTTCAGTTTGGGGGGTGATGATACTTCCGACTGGTCGGAGAAGGAATGATATTGAGAGTAAACGAAAGGATCATTTCAACTCTCAGAACACGACCCCAAAACTGTGATTTGAGTTAGGCGCCTAGTCTTTTCTGCCTTGTTTCTGAAGGCTTTGAGGCAATTTTCGAGTAACCTGTATTCACTTTCGAGGATCTCTTGTCTCTCTCTGGTCGCCCTTATTTTGAGGGATGAGAGATGGGTCTTTTCCTAAGGTGCCCCCAGTCTCATTCTTTAGATTGTGGTTTGCGTCATAATAAAGGGAGCCCTGGGAAGCAAGGGACGAGCAAGGAGAGGGTTCAGTGACGGATTAAAGAAGCTTCCTGAAAAGGCTTCAGATATTTCCCTGGAACCCAGAAAGAACTTATCACTGACTCCAGGGCCGAAGAAGTTGGGGGTTCGGGAAGTGGGGAGGGTTGGGGAAGCCTCGGCGGCTAAGCGCCGTTCTTTACGTGTGAAAGAAATTCTGAAGGCCGGGTGGACTTTTCTCTGGTTGCCCCCTACAGCCGCACCAGCTGTGTTGCATCCCAGCGGCGGTAACTCCATTTGAGAACTGAGGGTTGGTGCCTGGGGACCTGATTCACTCTGTAAAAAGTGTTGTTTGTGTCCAGCCATCGTCCAGAGGGGACGCGTGTTGCCGCCTCCTGCCCTTCTTGACACCACGAACCTGGCCGACCGCAGAACGCTCCAAGGCCGGGCGAAGATGGCCTCGGTTCCTGTGTATTGCCTCTGCCGGCTGCCTTATGATGTGACCCGCTTCATGATCGAGTGTGACATGTGCCAGGACTGGTTTCATGGCAGGTAAGGAGGGCAGACCAGGCTGGACAGGGTGCAGTGGCCAGAATTGTTCACTCGCACCCTCTTTTTCTCAGCTCTATTTTAGGTTCTGGCTTAGAACCTCCCTTCCCCCCAAGGATGAATTCCAACACCCCTCTCAGACTCAGGTTCTTCCATCCCTCCTTGCAAACCAGTACCTAACTGACACTGGCCTCTGTGTTTTCCCTTATGTATTTCTTCTTTGCATCCGTTTTTTGAATTTTATTTTTTCGATTTATAAGCTCCCTTTTTTCCAGCCCCAAAGAAATTATTATTTTTGTATTCTGGCAGTTGTGTTTTGCCTCAGACATGGCTTTGGGGGAGGGCATTTTTGAGATATTTGAATCCAAAAAACATAGATTTGAGTACTGGCATTGCAACTTACTATCAGAGTGACCTTGGACAAGTTGCTTTCGCCTCTCTGAGCCTCATTGTATCCACCTATGAAATATATCAAATATTTCCTTCCTGACTACATAAAGCAGTTTGCTTGCACTCAATAAATGGAGGCAGAAATGCAACAGAATTTTATTTTGACAGTATTTATCTGCAGAATATTCCAACTAAATTGAATTAAGCAAAATAGATATTGGCTAAAACAGCAGGACTAAAACCACTAATGACTTCCCTTCAGTTAACTGTGTCTGCACACAAATACCTGTCACTCAGAATTTCAGAGAGGTTAGTGTGTGGAATAAAACTGTAAGAGCTCATTATTGGGACTTAAATCCCAGCAATGGAAAGACAACCTTGAGGGAACTTTGTACACTGAAGTATAGCAGCAGTATATGGGCCCTCCTCCTGTTGCATGTAGATTCTAGAATTTTCAGTTGTCACTAGTCCCCTCCAGAGGAGCTGTTCCTGTTATTCATGTCCAAGAAAGGTGCTGGTGCTGCTAAAATCCTGTCCTCAGCAGGAACTACCCCAATGTAGTGTATCTAAATTCATTTTTAACCAATCTTTATTGAATATTTACTGTGCAGAATTCTGTTTGCTGTCTCATGTTATTTCGTTTAGGAGGGGACAAACTAGAGGGTGGGGCCTTTTCTTTTGTCTTGAAAACAAGTGGGGATTAAGATGTCTTTTAGAAAATTAGTTTAAAAAAAAGAGATCTTTCAGGATTCCTGGTATCTTTACTAATGGTGATCAAGTCACTCCTCAGCTTAAAATTCTTCTTTCAGTGGTTCCCCTACTGGATAACATTCCATCTCTTTTGTGTTACAGACAAGATCTTTTGGGATTTACTTGTTTAGTCTCATTTCCTGCCACTTTTCTTCCCTTGTTCTTTATGTACTAGCAAGACTGATCTACAATAGTTGTGAGAAAATTTTATACTCCTTTTTTGTACCTTTTTGTATTTATACATGCTATTCCCACAAATGTCTTCCCCTTTACAACTCATAGAATACCTCTTTTGTAAAAGGCCTCCTTCTTCTGGGTTCCCATCACACATTGTGTACATCCTTATTAAAAATGAATTATTTCATCATATCACAGTTAAAATATGTCTGTGTCACTCATTAGCTAGGGCTCCCTGAGGGCAGAGATGTCATATTTTCATTTTTGGTATCCCCAGAACCTAGTTCAATGCTAAACATGTGCTGAGTACATTTTTGAATGAATGAATAAGTCTTCATGAAAAGGCTATTGCCTAATACCTGTGGCCCTTACTTTGAATTGTATGAGAAGTATATAGGTTTAGACCTCAGACTTGGAAAATGAGCTCCTGCCTACAATATAGAGAGACCCTAAACTCCTCACTCTGGAAACGGAGCAGGAACGAATGCTTCCTAAGTGCCTGTGTGTTCTGGACCCAATGACAGGAACTTTGCATAAATTATTTAATCTGTACCCAGGTCTGAAGGTTAGATATTTTTCTTCTAAATAATGTTAATTTTCTCCTGGTTATATGGTAAGACATACTCATTGTAGAAAAGATAGAAAAATAATAAGGAAAAATTACAGTAAAAATATGGTCTTTAAAAAAAAGAAGTAAATAAATGCCACCAGTGAGTCTATTCTCTGGTACAATCCACTGTTAAACTTTTTGTCACATTAACATATGTCATTTGACTTAGACTATAAGCATATATTTTTACAAGATGGAATTGCATTATGAATACTATTTTATTTATTTATTTATTTATTTATTTATTTTGAGTTGGAGTCTCACTCTGTCACTCAGA